CACAGTTTCTTATTTTCTTATTAGAAAGATGCTGCTGCCCATCTCCTGGTTTATTAACCTCTTTAAAAGAAGTAGTGGATATTCTAACACTGCCACCTCACGGTCATGTTAATATAAATAAACTAAAATATTAAAATTGGAACTTCATCTTTTTCATCTCCATAATCAGCCAATAAAAGTCAACTGCTGGACATGGTCTTTGCCAGTTGTGACAAAGACAGATACTGTCTACCAATCGTTATGGTACTCGGGATCGCTAAGGGACGCTGAAAGTCTGTTATAGCATTAAATAGATTTAAAAATAGTATTGTTATGTGTTATTACTCAAATTATTACAGGGAAAGTAGATGAGAAGTATACAAGAGACGATTGAAAAAAGTTCTACATTTAATCAAATTATAATATTATGTATGGGTCTTGCAGTGACAGCACATCTGTAGTCTACTTTGTTTATAGTCGGTTTGTAGTCAGGTGTCCATGGGCTGTAGCAGTAGACATTTAACATCAAGAGAACTGTTGGCTCGTCACGCACTGCTGAGAATTTATTTTGCTGCGGTGTGAAATAACATGTTTAAAACGGAACACAATTATTGTGGATGCACTAACGCATAAAGAAATCTTAGACAACCTTTGTATGTATATAAATCTACTATTTGGATTCGTTTATTTGTAGTATTGTGGTTTCCGTGACAATCAATTGTGAGTTCAGTCAGATACAAGATTTCCGAAGTTTCATTTCACTTATAAAATTTTGTATTTGTGAGTGTAGAGAACCGGAGACCCTGTTTTCTGGAAATGAGGCATTCCATCTTAGTCCTCACGGGTGACAACGCATCTGTATTTTGATTCGTAATCGAGAAGAGATGTAGATGTCTATGGGCCGCAGCAACCACTTACCATCAGGTGGACTGTGTGCTCGTTTGTCACCCTTATCCTATAAAAAAAATATTTATTTAACTTAGATAAAAATCAACCAAATAAATGCATTTTCACTTTAGAATAAAACTATATGATTCTCTAATTTTGTTTATGTTTTTCTTCTTTCGGCGGCTCCGTGGCGGAGAGTTACGGCGCTAAGGGCCGCAAGTTCGAATCCAGCTCGGAACAAGTATGCTTATGGCCTTAAATAATTGCTTTAGTTCTGGATATTTATCCCTATGCAATTTATATATGTTGAGGCAATAGAAGAAAATCCAAGTGTGGGGGTTTTTTTTTTTTTTTTTTTATAGGAGAGGGGGCAAACGAGCATGCGGCTCACCTGATGGTAAGTGACTACCGCCGCCCATGCACAACCGCAACACCAGGGGAATTGCAGATGCGTTGCCGGCCTTTTAAAAAGGAGTAGGCTCTTTTCTTGAAGGTCCTTAAGTCGTATCGGTCCGGAAAAATCCCTGGTGGTAAACTATTCCACAAGGAAGTTGTGCGAGGAAGAAAACATCTTCTAAATCGCACAGTGGTGGACCGCCAATCATCCAGATGGTGTGGATGGTATCGGGAGTTCTGCCGCGATGTGCGTTCGTGAAATTTGGCGGCTGGGATTAATCCGAACAATTCCTCAGAGCACTCCCCATGGTAGATGCGAAAGAAAATGCAAAGAGATGCAACATCTCTTCGCAGTGCCAATGAATCGAGCCGATCGGAAAGGGCTCGGTCGTCGACGATTCGAGCCGCTCTGCGCTGGATGCGGTCAAGTGGAAGGAGCTGGCACTGGGGAGCCCCTGCCCAGAGATGGGAACAGTATTCCATGTGAGGCCGAACCTGCGCCTTGTAAAGTTGCAGGCGGTGTGCCGGCATGAAATACTGTCCCGCTCTGCTGAGCACGCCAAGCTTTTTAGAGGCCAATTTGGCCTTCTCTTCCAAGTGACCACGAAACTGCACGTCACTCGATATGTCGACTCCGAGGATACCGATACTGGCTGAGGCAAGAAGGGGAGTGCCTTGAAACTGAGGAGATACGACAAAGGGGTTCTTTTTAGCGGTAAACGCGCAAACTTGTGTCTTCTGAGGATTAAACTGGACTAGATTTAGTCGCCCCCAATCCGAGACTTTGTCCAGCAAAGACTCGACTTCAGACACAAGTTTGTTCCGGTACTCGGCGACGTTTTCCCGAGAAATATTGGCCCGGCCGGTGTATAGAGCATCACCAGTGCTGTCATCCGCATAGCAATGAATGTTACCAGTTAGCAACATATCATTGATATGCAGAAGAAACAGCGTTGGTGATAGCACACAGCCTTGTGGAACACCAGCGTTAATAGGCTTGTAGTCAGAACATGCACCGTCTACAACGACCTTGATGCTCCGATCTGCAAGAAAGCTGGTGATCCAATTGCACAATTTCTCGGGAAGCCCATAGGAAGGCAGCTTCGAAAGAAGCGCTTTGTGCCAAACCCGATCAAAGGCCTTCGCAATGTCCAGACTAACGGCCAACGCCTCCCCCTTGGACTCTACTGCCTTCGCCCATCTATGGGTCAGGTAGACCAGAAGATCACCAGCTGATCGACCCCGACGAAAACCGTATTGGCGGTCACTAATCAGCTGGTGATCCTCAAGGTACCGGATGAGCTGGCAGTTAATAATGGATTCCATTATTTTGGAGAACAAGGAGGTGATCGCGATAGGCCTATAGTTGGACGGGTCTGAGCGGTCGCCTTTTTTAGGGATCGGGTGGACAAAAGCTGTCTTCCATGAATTCGGGACTACGCCTTGGGAGTAGGAGTACCGGAAAAGACGCGTTAGGACCGGTGCCAACTCCGGAGCACACGTCCTCAGCACAATTGGGGGGATTCCGTCAGGCCCACTCGACTTCTGGATGTCCAAGGAGAGAAGTGCTTTGCGAACTGAGCGCTGTGAGAATAGCACATCCGGCATGGAGCACTCACACCGCGGGATGGTCGGCGGTATTTTCCCCCCGTCATCAAGAGTCGAGTTGGACGCAAAAAGGGAGCCTAAAAGGTCGGCTTTGTCTTTTGCGTCTTGGGCCAGTGAGTCGTCCTCCCTGTGCAGAGATGGTAGTGATGGCTTACAGAAATTCCCTTGGACAGCCTTGGCGAGAGACCAGAATGCACGGGTTCCCGAAGGAAGGCGAACTAGTTTCTCGCCAATTCTGCCTATGTGCTCTGACTTTGCCTTGGCAATAACTCTTTTGAAGGACCTGGAGGCGAAGTTATACTTCTTTTTAAGTGTGCTGGTGTAACATAATTTCTTTAAAATTTTATAACTATGTACCAAAATCTGATAAAACCAGATCATGGCCAAAAGTGACATTTAAATTTCTAACTTACGAGAACTTAAAATATGTAAGAATTTCTAGGTAAAATGTGAAACAATACTCCGTTGTTAATATCTGTAGGTATTTACAAATATATTTAATGCGTTGCTTAAAGTACACAAAAATAGAGTTCCTTATGTGAACAGGTAAGGATTTTGTTATATTTTAGAACCTTAGAGCAATTATAAGGGTCGTCGTTAGTATGAAAGGCTATCGGTTTAAAAGGGTAATATATCTTGGATCCTTTGTTTTAAAATAGTGGTAACGGATAAACTATTATTACTTATTCAGTGATTATATACTTATATTTTGAATCACTTTAGGCCTCTATTCTGTTCATTAATAATATTTTATTAATCTTTTGTATTAGATATTATATGTATTAGTTTTCATTATTTGTTAAGTAATTATAATATTATTTAGTATGATTGCTATAGGTATATAAAACTTATAGGCATCGATTCGTTATCAATTATGCTATTTAATTCTACTTTATAAATATTAAATTCGATTTTATAATATTATAAATCTCATTTCAAAATTGTGTGACGTAATTTTGCCAGTTCCTTGTACATAAAGGGTAAGGATTATGAAATTAAACTCTTATATAAAATGGAATTTATTTTATTTCTATAACAATTCAATCTATTTAAAAAAAATCGATCTTTCTCGGAAAGAATCGACATCCCTACTGACAATAACAATAAAAATAGCGTAAGTTTTACGGTAGGAATTGACATAAATATTAGAAAAATAGTTGATTTTCAATATTTTTTTTTCTCAAAAAGTACGTGTCCCCGAATATTGAAACGTTGCGTGTGTGCTTATAATAATGTAACCTTTCTGTAATAAAAATATCAACTGCCAACTTGACGGACGGCAATGGTGATTGGCATAGTTATTGCAAAAATAATTGATTTTCAATAATTTTTTTTCTCAAAAAGTACGCGTTTCCGCATTTTGAAATTTTGCGTGTGTGTTTATAATAATGTAACCTTTCTGTAAAAAAAAATATCAATCCCCAACTCGACGGACGTCAATGGAAAGTCGAACCCAATTAAACATTTTATCAAAAGAGATAAAAATCACACCCCCTGTTCCGTACTGGAACAGATTATTAATATATTATGTTTTTGGTTTCTTTTTTTTTTCGTATATAATAACAAGTACAAGGCAACACAATTTCGAAGATATTATTTTTCTATATTTCTATTAAATTCATTGGGTTAGCGATCAACTGTTTTCATTCTGAATGCATCCATAATCTTGCGGGTTATGGTTCTCTGTGCGACACAAGCGCCACATCGATTGGCGGCAATTGTGAACAGTCTAATCAGAACCACCGACGCGCGCGCATACAAATATTTTCGTGTTACTCAAACTCATCTCTCAAGATCTCTTTCACCTGGAAGTGTTGTGCTTGTAACCTATGGACTCTTGTGCGATACACTCTGCTGAACTTTGATACTACTATCATTGCGTCGACTGCCCCGAGCTCCGTGAGCCAGCCCCTGGATTCGTGGTTGCAGGGAGATTGTAGCGGTAAGTCGCTAAACCCAGTAGAATATCGTACATAAAAATTTGGTCCTTCGAGCCGGATTAAACATTTTGATCATTCAATCCGAATTAATCTTCCAGTTTGTGTTGTCTTGCAAAGCAAAGTATTGCAGTATTACGTACTCAATTCTTTTATGTGGTAAAATTATAATCCGCCATTTTGTAACGCAAAATGTCGGACGACGAATTACCGTGTGAACAAGATATTTTCGAAAGAGATTTAATTCTTGATGAGCTTAATCGTATTATTCAGCTCGCAACAACAAATGAACAACATTTTCGTTCGCGAACTATTGATTTAGCTGTTCACCAAAGAAAATTCAATAAAGTTCAAACAAAGATTGAGAAAACGCTCATTAAAATAAAATCATTTAATAAAGAGGAGCAGATTAAAGTTCGCAATGATTTTAACGATTTATATTATACCATTGTTACTTATTTAAATAATTTAAAAAAGGAGGATGAGCAACAGCGCCGCACGAGTCGGTCATTTCAAGCATCCGAGGTCATAGTGCAAGCAAACAGAAAAAACCTACCTATATTGCCACTGCCAGAATTTAACGGCGATCCAACCGATTGGCCGTCGTTTTATGACTTATTTCGTTCGTTAGTACATAACAACAGCGCTTACTGTAATGCGGAAAAGTTTAGATATTTACTACTTGCAGTTAAAAACGAGCCACATAATCTTATTAAATCTATTCCTATCACCGACGAAAATTACCTTGTAGCCTTAGATATTTTAGTGTCGCGTTATGATAATAAAAGAATTATTGCATCGAAACACCTTGACAAAATTCTGGATATTGAACCATGTTCCGATAGGTTGAGTCATAGTGTACGAAATTTACTAAATATATATCAAGAGAATATAAAGGCGCTTGAAGTTATGAATTTTCCAATAACTCAATGGAGTTTTATACTATTAAATATTTTGTTGCGTAAAATTCCGCTCACTATTAGAAGAACATTCGAACGTTCATTGAGTAAGCCATCCGAAATTCCAGATGTATGCGCGTTAATTTCTTTCCTCGAACGGGAAATTTCCGCTGACGAAATAACTATTTCTACTGTTTCAAACGTACATTCTGCTAAGAAACCATCGGCGAATGAGGGTAATTCAGTAAAATTCTCGGGCCGGAGCAACAACGCAAGCGGCGGTACTGTGCCTACGGCGCGACGCTCTTTGATTACTAACCTTAATGTACCCATAGAGCAGTCTCGATCTAAAAGTAATGGTAATAAGGTTAGAACTTGTTTACATTGCAACGGTCAACATATATTAACTAAATGTTCACAGTTTCTAAATCTTTCTCCACAAGATAGGTATTCATTCGTGCAAAATAAAAACATCTGTTTTAATTGTTTACACGTTGGACACGACGTTCAGAATTGTAAATCAAATTTCGTTTGCCGTTCGTGTTATAAACGACATCATACATTAATTCATCTTTCAACGCAATCGTTATCGGTCATTAGCGAAACGACGGTGGCTGATAGTGCTATACAGATCCCGCCTACGAAAGAGAGAATGAGTGTTCTCACGGCTGAGTCACCTCTTACCTTACCTGCCAACAGCAGCGCGGTACATAATAATTGCGCGTCCAATGCGTCTTTAGTTCGTACTCATACAGTCCTATTATCCACAGCGCTCATTGATATTTGCGTAGGTGAATCAAAGGTATCAACCGTTCGATGTATTGTAGACACGGGTAGCCAGGCGTCCTTTATCACAGAGGCTTGCGTACAACGTTTAGGTTTAGCGCGTAAACATATAAATATTCCGGTTTTTGGTATAGGCGATACCGATCCTGTGCAACCTAAAGGTATAGTTTCATGTTTAATTGTTCCAAAAGGTAAACAGCAGCCCATTGTACCCGTGGATGCGTTAATTTTGCCAAAATTAGTTACGAAAATGCCCAGTGTACCTCTGCCCTTTACAGGTTGGTCACATTTAAAAAATTTAAACTTAGCTGACCCTGACTTTCATACACCCCAACCGGTAGAAATGTTACTAGGAGCGGATATACTATCCCACATTTTATTAGGCAACATGATTACTGGACCTCCGGGGTCACCGATTGCGATGAATAGCGTGTTAGGTTATTTATTATTAGGTAAAATAACGTTCGATACAATCGTTTCGACTCCACTCCAGGTATGTTTTAGCTCGTTTGACAACGACAATCTTCAAAGGTTTTGGGAGCTGGAATCATTTTCCGAGAAACGTACTTACACTCCAGACGAGGAGCTATGCGAATCCTTTTTCCAAAAGACGCATACACGGGACGAGACAGGACGGTACGTCGTCGCCCTGCCGTTCAAACCCAACGCACCGCGCCTCGGCGAGTCACGGCAAATTGCATTGGCTCGCTTTAGAAAATTAGAGTATAGATTGGAACGCAACGTGCAGCTGAAAACTGATTATCACACGTGCCTCCAGGAGTATGAGGACCTGAATCACATGGAGCTCGTTGATAGTGAGCCTTTGCAAGGTGCCAGCTATTATATTCCGCACCACTGTGTAGTTAAAGAATCGAGCAAAACAACACGTACACGCGTAGTGTTCGATGCGGGTTGTAGAACGACGAGTGGTTTGTCGGTTAATGACGTTCTCCTAACGGGTCCCAAGCTTCACCTTGATATAGTAGACGTACTTTTAAAGTTTCGTGTTCATGCCGTAGCGTTCACTGCGGATATTAAACAAATGTATCGAAATATACTGATTCGTGAAACTGATAGGGACTTCCAGCGCATTTTATGGCGTAAATCGCCAGAAGAACCTATACGGGACTACCGTCTCCGCACGGTCACATTCGGTGTAAATTCCTCACCATATCTCGCTTTGCGTACAATTCAGCAGCTTGCTCACGATGAGGCCGAGTATTTTAGGCTCGCATCTCCCGTATTATTGAGTGACGTATTTGTCGATGATGTTGTTTCTGGTGAGGATACGGAGTCCAAAACTCTCGCTCTGCAGCAAGAGCTTATCGACATTTGTAAGACGGCTGGATTCGAACTACGTAAGTGGCACAGCAACTCATCAGCGATACTCGCTACACTACAGCCACCAGCTTGTCATGGTGAGCGGCCCGAAAACGTTCCATTTTCTGAAATGGAGAACGACAAAAGAGTTAAGGTCCTCGGACTACAATGGAATCCAGGATCTGATACATTTAATTTTAAAGTTCAAGTTACCACTCATAAATGCACCAAGAGATCTATTCTTTCTGAGATCGCAAAAATATATGACCCTCTCGGGTTGCTATCTCCGGTAACCTTGTATGCCAAACATTTGATTCAGTTATTGTGGATGGCAAATGTAGATTGGGACGATAATCCGCCCATCGATATCATTAATTCGTGGACACGTTTCATAAACGAGCTACCGCTGCTATCACAGGTATCGTTTCCGCGATACATTTTCAGTAATAATATCGATTCGGTAGAAATTCATGGATTTGCTGACGCGTCCCAGATCGCATATGCCGGCTGTGTCTATATTCGACTTACAAGCAAGGACGGCAATATTTATACATACCTGATTATGGCGAAAACTAGGGTAGCTCCGCTCCGCGCACCCCTTACCATCCCACGTCTCGAGCTGATGGCAGCTCTATTGCTTTCAAAGCTATTAGATAAGATAGCAAATTTATACAGAGATCGCATCTGCCCTGAACGGATTTACGCATGGTCCGACGCCACCATCGTGCTGGCCTGGCTCCGTTCATCGCCGCATGAATGGAAGACGTTTGTTTCCAATCGCACTAGCGATATTCTGTCCCGCGTTCCCGCCAGCTGCTGGCACCATGTTCCGTCAGCCGATAATCCTGCTGACGCTGCATCACGTGGCTTGCTACCTACCGCGATGGTACAACACGACTTGTGGTACCATGGTCCCGCATGGCTCCGACGAAGTGCTGACAACTGGCCGGTTGAGACTCAAACTATGAGCACCTGTGAAGAAAAACGTAACTTAACGCTATCTTCTGCTATGTCTACGGCACCGCCCGTACAAAATACCGAAATTATAATGCGATTTTCGTCGCTAGGCAAACTCGTTCGGATTACTGCACTAATATTTCGTTTTTATAATAAATGCAAAAGGGTTAAAAATTCGTTCCCGGGTTACATTACCGTACCTGAATATAATTTTTCATTAAATCGACTAATTTACCTTACTCAACAATCGGTCTTTCAAGACGATATTTTAAAGGTATCTCAAGGAAGATTACCTTCTAATCAATTGCGACGTCTTACACCCTTTCTGGATAGTGACAAACTCTTACGTGTAGGAGGTCGAATTCATAAATCATTGTTACCATTTGAATCTAAACATCAAATAATTTTACCGAAAAAACATGCTTTGACGAATTTAATTATCGACGACGCTCACATGAGCTATCTGCATGCAGGACCTCAGTCCGTGCAATACTTGCTGTTGCAGCGCTATTGGATATTGTCTTGCCGCGACATCGTGCGTCAACGCATACATCGCTGTGTCCGTTGCTTTCGTGCTCGTCCAACACGTGATCAACCGATTATGGGACCACTACCAGCTTCGAGAATACGTCCGGCGCGTCCTTTCCTTAAAACGGCCGTAGATTACGCCGGTCCATTTTTTGTTCGTGCAAATAAAGTACGTAACGCGAAAATAGTGAAGTGTTATGTTTCGGTATTCGTATGTATGAGCGTAAAGGCCGTACATCTCGAACTCGTTTCGGAGCTATCCACTGATGCATTTTTAGCAGCTCTGCGACGCTTCACGGCCCGTCGAGGATTATGTACGGATATATATTCTGACTGCGGAAAGAATTTTGTCGGATGTAACAATTATCTTAAAGACCTATACGCGTTTTTACGTAGTCATGTCGTTCAAAGTACAATTAATCAACAAACCCTTCAACAGGGACTTACGTGGCACTTTCAACCTCCGTATGCTAGCCATTTTGGAGGTCTCTTCGAAGCTAGTGTTAAAAGTTTCAAACACCACCTACATCGTGTGGTTGGAACTCGTACTCAGACTTACGACGAGATGCATACCCTTCTCTGTCAAATCGAAGCCGTGTTAAACTCACGTCCCCTTTGCGCCATGAGTTCGGCCTCTACCGATCCCCTCCCTTTAACACCGTCTCATTTTTTAATAGGAGAACCCTTAACGGCTCTACCTGATGTATCCTTGTTGGACGAAAACCCTAACCGTCTCACACGTTGGCGCTGGATACAACAGTCAGTCCAGCACTTTTGGAAAAGATGGAGTAGAGAATATCTCCATCACTTACAACAGAGTAGTAAGTGGCTTCATGATCGCGGCTCCGCCATTCGTGAAGGCACTGTTGTTGTGGTATGCGACGAGCACCTTCCGCCATTACAATGGAAGCTCGCGCGTGTGCATGCTGTTCATCCTGGCTCCGATCAAGTCACTCGTGTAGTGACCTTAAAGGCTGGGAATACTATTTTTAAACGACCTGTAGTAAAGATTTGCCCACTTCCGTTAGAGTAATGTGTTAAATTTACAAACTTAATCCTAGTCCTTAAGTTTTTTTTGTCTTCAATTTATACTATAAGTTAGCGATTTTTTAAAAGAAATTACTTCTTTTAAGGTGAGCGGCATGTTCCGTACTGGAACAGATTATTAATATATTATGTTTTTGGTTTCTTTTTTTTTTCGTATATAATAACAAGTACAAGGCAACACAATTTCGAAGATATTATTTTTCTATATTTCTATTAAATTCATTGGGTTAGCGATCAACTGTTTTCATTCTGAATGCATCCATAATCTTGCGGGTTATGGTTCTCTGTGCGACACAAGCGCCACATCGATTGGCGGCAATTGTGAACAGTCTAATCAGAACCACCGACGCGCGCGCATACAAATATTTTCGTGTTACTCAAACTCATCTCTCAAGATCTCTTTCACCTGGAAGTGTTGTGCTTGTAACCTATGGACTCTTGTGCGATACACTCTGCTGAACTTTGATACTACTATCATTGCGTCGACTGCCCCGAGCTCCGTGAGCCAGCCCCTGGATTCGTGGTTGCAGGGAGATTGTAGCGGTAAGTCGCTAAACCCAGTAGAATATCGTACACCCCCTCAATACATTTTTTCACATAACAAACTATTTAATATCTACCTCCTTTTACACGGCCAAACAAAAACAGGTTAAAACAATCGGAAACGTTCAATTAAAAAATGTTTTAAAACGGCCTTGTTTTTAAAATATGTTATTCAAATATTAAAACAGCGTTTACTTTTTAATTTAATAGTGAATCGTGATTACTTGTCAAATGGGTACATAGGTTCGGCCGACACACGGGCGTGAATAAACTGTCAACCCCCTCCTGGCGCCATGACACTTGAGGGTATATGTCATATTAATTATGAATCCTTCTTCTCAGACAGGCAAGTTCGATCCCGATCTTTTCCTTCACCACCAAGTACATGGTAAATCAGCACTTAAAATTACAATTAACAATTTTATTGTTGCTCCCGTACTATGAACTTTACACCGAGCGCTTAGCCCATGAACTGCTACGGCTCATCGTTTCATACATTAGGTGAAATGCTGAAAATCATTACAAAGTCCACGTAGATGTACGAGTAAAAGTCTTCAAGAATTGTATAAAGTGTTTTAACAGAAAAAAAAAACAAAGAAAAGTAATCTGGATCAAAACATTGATCATTTTTGTATTTAAACTGTTCATTTTTCGTACAGTATTTCAACTAAAGAGCAATTAAGACCGTTCATTCTGATTTTATTATCTTTTGGGAAGACATGTTAATGTTAATTTCGAAAAATTTAGAAAAAAGCTTCAAGATTTTTATATACTATTTTAAAATTAATTTATTATTTAATCCAATTCTTACCATTTCATCGTATAGTGTCAAAATAAGAAATCCTATCATCTCATCCCATTTCCTGGCTCTTCTAAGTGTCAGCATAAGCACAGATTAAATAATGTTTTTATACGTGGTAGAGCCATGCTGCAGCTATATTAATAGTATAATTGTAGCACGAATGGGTCGGCTCGACCGGAGAAGACCCACGCTCTCACAGAGTACCAGCGTGAAATAGCAGCTTAATGCTATTGTGTTTCCTTTTGTCAGTGTAGAGAACCAAAGACACATTTTACTGGAAAAGAGACATTCTATATTAGTCCTCACGGCTGACAGGGCATCTGAATTTTACATAGAATAAGGGTGACAAACGAGCACACAGTCCACCTGATGGTAAGTCGTTGCTGTGGTTAATAGACATCAACATCTATCCTCGACTACGAATCAAAATACAGATGCATTGTCACCCCTGAGGACTAAGATGATATGCCTCGTTGCCAGTGAAAAGAGTCTCCGGTTCTCTATACTTACCATACGAAAAATAGCAGCTGTTTTACTCCGGTATACTGAGAAAGCGTGGTTTGTCGGGGAACTATAATACAGCTGCAGCATGTCTCAACCACATACAAACGTTTACAGTCATAGATCCCTTTTGGTCTATTAAACAATTTGTTTCCCACGATAGCTTACTATGAATGGTGGGGAGATTCACCGTTTGAATATTATCGTTTACATAGCATGGGCCTTTCTTTGACAAAGTGTTACATAATGGCATAATTATATTTTATCGTGATTGTGAATTCAAGTTTAGAGTTTATGGAACTAAGGTGGTCTAAAATTAAGACCATCGATATACTATCTACTAGGCTATACTAGACATAATTAACAAGATTTCTGAGAGAAGTCATAAAGAAGTCTACGTGTTTTTATAGAAATGACAACAATAACCAAGACAGTTTTAACATTTATTTTCACGAAATGTTAAAAGAAATATGGCTTTATTATGACGATAATAGAGCTCCTTTAGTAAACTTTTACTTTTATGGCCTTACAATATTTATGTTTCAACACAAAAAATTTTCCCTTTATAAGAGAAAAGAGCAAATACTTTTTTGCTCCTTCTATTTAAAAAAATACTGGCAGTTTTATTAACATTACTAATTTTCCTCGTAATAATGCCTCGTTTTCAGTAAAAGGGGTGTCCGGTTCTCTACACTCACCATACGAAACACAGCAGCTTTAAGTTGCTAGTTTACGTGGGTATTCTGTGAGATCTATTCTCAATAAACAATCAAAATGTAGACAAGTTGTCATCCCTGAAGACTAAGATAGAATGCCTCATTTTCAGTAAGAAAGGGTCTTCTTTTAAATAAATTAATTATAATAAAAATATAAATTTTAATTTTAATAAAAAATTTAATAGTTTGGTAATGGCCTGAAATGTATGAGTGAATGAATGTTATATTAAAACGTGTTTCGCAATGCATACGTGGTTGCATGCACTTGGGCTGCTTGCACCTCGCGTAGAAAAAAAAATCTTCTGGGTACATTATAAGCTTATAGTCAATATTATTCAAATTTTAAAATTGTTATTACATGTTTATGTTTATTGCTTATACTCGTACTTATTTCTTCAATTTAAGTTCCAAAATTTTCAATGACTTTAACTTTTTAAAAGACTTCATACAACTATATTTTTCAAACCAAAAAATGTTCATGCCAGCTTTAAAATTGTTACCTTGAGGTATTAGCTTGATTAAAACCGTTTCCTTAATATCTGAAAAGTATTTTTACATTTTCCGCAAGTCGAGGGATAAATGTCAAATAGTATGAAATTAAAGTAACAAGGTTTCTACTACCCAAATGTTTAGATGTTTTTGTTTGATTAAACGCGCTAATCTCTGGAACTTCCAGTCCGATTTGAAAAATTCTCTTTGTATATTATAGCCAGAATCATGTGGAATAGTAAAGGTTATCTAGCATTAAGCTATAGAAACAGAAACAGAAACAGAACCTTTATATTCAACATAGATTATAAATAATACTTACTGAAAGTCACTCTTTTGTTTGATTACCACTGGTTCGGAAAAAACTTCTGTCTTGGGAAGAACCAGCAAGAAACCCAGCGGGACTTTTTTTTAAATAACAGCTTACAATCATGATGCTACACAAATTAACAACACAACAAATTAGAAATAGCTTGGTAGCGATCACCTCATTTCCAGGGGTTACCATCATCCATAAATTCCTTAATATTATAATAACCCTTTTTATACAAACTTAGTTTAATAAAGTTTTTGAACTTTGAACAGGTCAAACTTTGTATATTTTCTGGAATTTTGTTGTAAAAGCGTATACATCGCCCCAAGAATGAATTACTGACTCGATGGAGCCGAGTAACTGGTACTACTAGCTTGTGTCTGTTCTTAGTATTTACAGAATGAATATCACTTATTTTTGTAAAACTACTTTTATTTTTGTATACGTACATTACATTTTCATAAATGTGTTGAGAGGCTAAAGTTAATATATTAATTTCCTTAAATTTTTGTCGCAGCGACTCTTTAGGCTTTAAATCATAAATTGCTCTTATGGCCCTCTTCTGCAAAACAAATATAATTTCAGTGTCAGCTGCGTGTCCCCATAGCAAAATACCATACGACATTATGCTATGGAAGTAGCTGAAGTAAACTAGTCTAGCTGTTTCAACACTGGTTAGACTTCTAATCTTTTTTACAGCATATTCTGCAGAACTAAGTGTGCTTGCTAGTTTTGATATATGGGGGCTCCATTGAAGCTTCGCGTCTAGTGTGATTCCAAGAAAAATGGTGGTATCTACAAGACTCAGTTTCTCCCCATTTAAAATTATATTAGTATTTAATTGTTTGACATTTGGAGTCATGAATTTCATACATTTTGTTTTAGTGCCATTTAAATGCAAATTATTAACATAGAACCAATTTACTAATTTAGATATAGCATTATTTACTTCGTCATATTTTAGTAACTGTCGACTTAATTTGAAAATCAAAGAAGTGTCATCTGCAAATAATACTGTATCATGGTTATCCCCTACTATATATATTACTTAGCTAGCCTTAAATATGGATATTTGTTAAGCAAGTCAGAAGAAAAAGCACTCCCGAAATGATTTATCCGCGTACGCTGGTGTTATCGTTAGGGATACGTAAATACAATGTTCTAGAAAAATATAGACCTTTACTCCGTCTAAAAAAAGTCTGCGATACCATATGTCTATTTCTTATACATAAGCCATAATTTGGTATTTTGTGACAAAAAAATATTGAAAATTTAAAAGTGATTTATGAGCCTTATATCCTTATAAATAGGCATGGCCTATTTATCCTTACGAACCAAAGTTACTTCATCATCAAGACAACTTTATGAAGATAAACTTTGTTCTTTATACTATGTTATTTGGGCGCATAGTTTAAGAGATAATGTAAAATTAAAATAATTCAATACTTGGCTGGGCACGCGAACGACGCTTAAACCCTATCCGTTATAAAATGCTTGAACTAGGTCATGTCGCGCACCTCGGACACGTGATGACGCGGGTGAAACCGCGGGGCACAGCTAGTCATACATATATTAACTACACCGTTTATATTGTTAGGAGCTTGGGGTTCGAGAAAATTAAA